AGTTCTTCCTTCTCCCCTCCTGCCCCTGTTTCCTCCTAACTACACATACGCCATGTGGTAAAAGGAAAAATGAAAAAAAGAAGGAAGAAATAACCATTCATGCTCAGTATAACAAGTCAAATTCAATTGAATTTCCTGGTATCTTGACATTGAAAATTTTGACAGTGGAGACAAGGGAGAAGTTCTTTACAGTTTATGTTCCCTTGTTTCTTGCATCGCTTAGAGGTGACTGGAATCTCGCTAGAGAATTTTTGAATTTGAATCCACAAGCAGTGCGTGCTACAATAACAAGGAATTCAGAAACTGCCCTGCACATTGCAGCTGGGGCAAAACATGTAACCTTTGTTCAGGAACTGGTGGAGCTGATGGAGCCTATTGATCTTGAAATGAAGAACAATGATGGGAATACAGCTCTATGTTTTGCAGCAGTATCTGGAATCATGAAGATTGCAGAGGCAATGGTCAGAAAGAATAATAAATTGCCTTCTATTCGCGGCAGTATGAGAGCAACACCATTGCTTATGGCTGCTTTGTTAGGCCACAAAGATATGGTCTGGTATCTTTATTCTGTGACCAAAGAAGATGACCTTACAGATGAAGATTTGATTGGGCTTCTTGTTGCCGTCATCAATGCTGACCTTTTTGGTTGGTCTCTTTAGTTTCATATTATATTTTCTAGTTTCATCTGAGCTAAACCACATGACAAAATAAACATTAAGGGTTGAGAAAAGATAACCTTGTTCATCATTTTTTACACATATGATGGTGTGGTTGTGTACTGGCTCCTTGACAGCTATGAACTTATTTTTGCTGCCAGATATAGCTTTGGCAATACTTCAGCATAATCCACAATTAGCTACAGCTCGAGATGGAAATGGAGAGACAGCTCTTCATGTCTTGGCTCGAAAGCCCTTGGCATTGCAAAGTAAAAGCCTATTAAGCACTTTCAAGAGGTGCATGTACTGATGTCCATCACTTTCCTACTTGCTGTACCTTATAATTATAATCCTTAAAGCTTTCTTAGATGTCATATTTACTTCTATTTCACAAAAAATGCTTCGTCTCCTAGTCTACCTATTGCAACTATGTTGACATAAATGGTTTCTTCTGTTGTGCATTTTCATTTCATATTAAAAGAGAAAGCACTGTTGTCTCTCTCTTTGACTAAAATTGTTGTGGTGTTGGCTTAATATTGCTCTGTCCTCCACATAAAATTCCAGTTGCCTGTGTCCAAATATCTGACTTCCATGCTAGTTACACAGTTATAAGGCTATAGTTCTTTTCATGGAAAGCAAAGTCAAATAATTTTCAAGTTGTTTGGCGATCATTAATTTTTTCGTAAACCCTTTAAACTGAGATATAAGAATTTGTTAAATGCAGGGAGCCCATTTTGAAGGTCTTGTTCTTGAATCTCTCCAATTTTATAGGTATGGTGTTGGTCTAGAATGTTTTCGTGTTTACTACACATACTCTGACTCGATCGTTATGCAGCCCCAGATCTCAGGTTCTCAAAGTTAATGCAAAACGAAGCACTTGAACTGGTGGAGCAACTGTGGAAGCATGTTTTGTTGCTGGATGACTCAAAAATAGGAGAACTAATTAGGAAGCCTTCACGATTGCTGTTCACTGCAGCAGAATTGGGGAATTTTGAGTTCATATTTGTGCTGATCCAAATGTATCCTAGTCTGATCTGGAAAGCTGATAATCATAGCCGAAGCATTTTTCACATTGCAGTGTTGCATCGTCAAGAGAAAATTTTTAATCTCATACATGAGATTGGTGCACACAAAGACTTGATAGTTGCATACAAAGATGAATACAATAATAATATTCTACATTTGGCTGGAAAATTAGCTCCTCCAGATCGACTCAAAATTGACTCTGGTGCTGCTCTGCAACTTCGGCGAGAATTACACTGGTTCAAGGTTTAATCTGAGCTTCCAACTATAGCTTGAACTCTAGGTTCTTGTTAGAATTGAATAAATCTTTGTCTTTGTCTTCTTGCACTGTTTTTGTATCTTCCATTCCATTTAGCTCATCTCTGGATTTTTCTTCATTGGCTCTCAAAGTTATGGTGCTTTATGAACTTTTTATGCTTTAACTGCAATTTAAATTATAGAATTAATGGTTTATTTTAACTGGGAACACCTAATCTAGTCTTCTTGCTAGATGATGGATACTACTCTAGCAAACCTAAAACTAGATTGAAAAGCAGTTCATTATAACTTTAATGGCTTATGACTTGACTTTGCACATCATTGCAGGAAGTAGAAAAGCTTGTCCAGCCTTCATATCGAGATATGAGAAATTCAGAAGGGAAAACTCCCCATATCTTGTTCACGGAGCAGCACAGAGCACTTGTCCGAGAAGGGGAAAAATGGATGAAAGATACCGCTTCTTCATGTATGGTTGTTGCCACTCTCATTGCCACAGTAGTGTTTGCTGCTGCCTTCACTGTTCCTGGCGGTAATAATAATGATACAGGGAGGCCTATATTTCTTCACCACAGGTCATTTATGGTCTTCTCTGTATCAAATGCATTAGCTCTATTTTCTTCTGCATCCTCCATATTGATGTTCTTGTCCATCATCACCTCACGATATGCTGAAGAAGACTTTCTTCATTCATTGCCAAACCGGCTTATCATAGGGCTTGCGACCCTTTTCATATCTATAGTCAACATGATGGTAGCCTTTGCAGCCAGTCTGTTCATTGTTCTTGGGCATGATTTTGTTTGGCTTACTATTCCCATTGCCACAGTTGCTTGTGTCCCTGTCACCTTGTTTGGACTTTTGCAGTTCCCACTCTTTGCAGATATGATCAGGCATGTACTTAGTTCTAGCCTTTTGTTTCGTCCTAGAAATAACTTATTCACTATATAATTGTCAATAAAAAAAAAAAAACTGAGGTTAGACCCAGATGTAAAATAACATTTTTCTTGTACTATATATATTCATCATATTCAATAGTTTAATTTTTCATGGTGGGTAATGAGGAAAATTTGGGAGGTAGAAAATGAATATTGGGTTCAAACAATAGCTGATGCTTTAAGAATGAGTTTTCTATTGCAGCCATCTAGTTCCTGTGAAGGAAACTCCATATTTGCTGATATCAAGCAGGTCCTCCACCCAACCCTGCAATCAGTGCAGACCAAGTCTTCAGCAATCATCATTAATTTGTTTCTCTGCATATTGTGTAATTATGTATTGCCTAATCTAGCTCCCTAGTTCTTGTAATTTTACTGTTACATATCTTATTACTGCATGGGATTTTAATCCCATAATAAAATAAGTCAATTAAGGAAACGGAAGCTAAGTAAGAAAGGAAAGTAAAGATTTGCAGGAATACTCTTCCAAACTTCTCCTCCTGAAATCTTTTTACCTAGTTGCCTTGTTTTTTTGTCCTTTTTTTCCATTCTTAACCAAGTTTCTGATACGTTGGACATTGATATTTCATAGATTTCAATGAAAATCTATGAAAGAAAAGAAAAGTAGACCTCTAAAGCATGTAATTCAAAAGAAAATGACAAAATAATGAAGAAACTAAATATTGACTATAGTGCTTGATTGTTATTTCCTTTTTTATTTCAATTATGATATGTAGTTATACAAAAAAAAAAAAAAATACAGATAATTTAAAATGAAACTATTTTAAAAATATAATTTATCAAATTGTTACACAAATAGCAAAATATGATTAAATATATATTAAATAATTTTTAATAAATTTTTATATATTTCAATTAAATGACTCTGTACACTAATAATACTATGATTTTTTAATAAAAACATACAAAAAAAAAAAGAAATGCACATTCTCATAAATAAAATGTAGAAATATCAACCATGCATTTAATTTAATATATGGTTTGTTTGAGCTTTTGTTTTCTTAAATTAACAGTTCTGCTCGAGGAACTTTTAAATGCCTTGGGTATTATAATGATGATTAAGTTAAATTTTTTTTTTAGTTAACACGGATATTAATATACCATTAATTGGGTGTCTTTTTTGGACTTTGACCAATTTTGTGAAAAGGAGAGGATTATTAAATCCAGATGATGATAGTCTTGGGCAACTGCCACATTGTTTATTCACTGTTCACTCACTTGCTTTCTGAGTTTCCACTCTTCTTCCTCCTCCTTTCCATCTTCTGCTAAGTATACTCAGAGCAAAACGCGGCATTCAAGCGTAGAAGCTTCTTTGCGAAAGTTGGAGTAAGGAAACTTCCCGTCTCTGATATGCTTGTTCATGCTTATCTAACTTCCCTACTTTTGCATTGACTTTGTTGTCAGCTGTTACTCTATAAATTCTTTGGACTTGACTATTTGTGTTTTTACGAGCGTTTTTCTGATGATTCTTCAGTTTATGCTTTGGTAACTTCACTGCATTGTTCGTTATTTTACTACTTGGATTTATGCTTAGGTAACTTCAAGCCTTTTGTAGGTAAAGTTGAATCTTCTGATAGTAGATTATCAATCTTGTCGTTGACTGTGTTGTTTATATTTCTATACATGCATAATTTTGCTGCAAATTTTTAGAAATTCCTTGAATGCTCAATTTTTAATTTCAAAGATTAATTTCTGCAATGAATTTGAACTCGGTTTCATGCTTTATACCAATGGAACAAGATGTTGCTCGTTATATTTGGATTTACTAAACAAGGTTAAAGTCCTTCATTAAGTATCATGACTTTAGCATGGAGACTAGTTGAAATTCTAAAGAACCTTGCAGTTCCACCAGTGTTACTTCTGTTTTTTATTGATTGGGTTTCTAGAATTGGCAGGGCTGCATTATTTTCTAGTTATGTGGAATTATACAGGAACAGAAATTAGTGCCAGTTGAGGTTTTAAACAATCTAATCATATTTCTGATCATTCAAATCTCAGGAGGGGACTCATTAAGATTTTACTCGCTAAATTGCAGTTGCTGGAGCGCCGTCCCTCTCTAAAAGGCAACACATCTTGAAGATACATTTTCCTGACCTAAGCTGGGTCTTTTCTCAGCTGGCTCTTGCATTGACTTGTCCTGTGAAAAAGAGTATAGTTTCAACCACATTCTTGCCTGCATTCTCTTCATGTTGATGTCTGTTCGTGCCTGCCATTCTGCTGGTACTTGGCTGAAAGTATAAAGTTGCCAAGGTACTCCATTGTCTGCGTCTAGCACTTTGAAGTAAGGATAAAGTATGACGAGTGAGTCAAGATTGGAACGACTTCCTTCAATCTCATCTTGCTTTCCGGAAAGGTTCTCTGGCCTAAACTTTGATGAGAGCTCAAATAACTCCACAGTATGCCATCCTTCAGCAATTCTCCATCCATTGCCACCTGTCCCACTTCCACATGTCCCAGTGGATAAACATCTTATAGTTGAACAGCCAGGGGTGCCAAAAACATGTTCTAAAAATTCAGCACCTGCATTTTCAAGTTTTCTAGTGCAACAGCATGCTTCAACAAATGATCATGTCATTGGATCTGCTCAAGATGATAAAACATCAAGAAGTCCCCTTCCTACCCCGCTACTATCAGTACATAATTTTCATAGTAAGTACATGTTGTGTCTATTTTTGATGATTTTGCCCTCATAGTAGAAAGGTTCTCCAACTCTTATATGATTGAAAGATTTTCACTGTACTTGGTATAGTTGAACGCCCCGTGCCACCCGACATGTCTCCAAAAAGTTCAGAATCACCACTTTCAATCTGGCCTTCACGACAACACGCTAAGACAAATTTCAGAGATCAAATCAATTGTTCTGCTCCGGCACCGACTACCCAAGATGAGAAGATATCAAGAAGCTCCCTTCCTACTCCTCCATTTCCAATACCCAGTTTTCTTAGTAAGTAAATGCTGTGAGTTAGACTATTTTGTGATTTTGCTCTCATAGTCCCTTACGTTGTTACATTCCATTTAAGACTAGGAATAGGCATATTGGGACCTACTTTTTACATATCTCTCGTGCATCCTGTAGCAAAAGAAATAGTTATGAACTCTGTAAACTACCCCCATGGAGGTGGTGAACGGAGGACTCCAATTGGTAGAAAAAACCTAAACCCCTGGGGTTATCTTGCACTTGGAAGAAGAAGTAGAAAAAGGAAGAAATATAGTGAGAGTTTGATTCTTCACAACCGATATAAATAGGAGAGAAAAACAAATTTCTTTCTTCGTCTTTAAAGAAAAAATAGGAGTTAATTAATTGTAACACATTCACAAAAAAAAATTCTTTTGTAGCAAATCATTTATTAAGAAAAATAGATATTATACAAAGGTGTAAAAAGAAAGACAAAGAATTTGGTCTCGGGCATCTACCATTAGTTATTAGTTATTTATATTATGGGCGAACGACGGGAATTGAACCCATGTGTGGTGGATTCACAATTCACTGCCTTGATCCACTTGGCTACATCTGCCCCTACCCCCGAACAGGTTTCACTTATCTACGATCAGATCCTTTCTGAACCCCCTTATACCTGCTATCAAAGAGAAGCTTTTTCCAGTTGCAAGTCTATTCTTGTGTTTTGGAATTAGGGGAAGCAAAGGTTCAACAAATAGAAGCTTCTTGGAAAAGCTTCAAACGAAGAGGTTGGGATATAAAGTTTCTAAATTTTATTTAATTAAAAAGAATTTCATTACTTGGTTTGCTCCTACTACTTGAAGTCATATAGCACCCTACTGCAAAATGATTGCCTCAAATCTAAAAGCTCATATCTTTTGATCCATTTTTAAGTTTTTGTTTCACAGGGATCATGACTTTTGAATAATCTCTTGTCAAATCTATGAAAGACTTAGTGATGCGAAACCTATAATCAACAATGTGATAAAAAGCTCACACAATTTCAATTAGCATAAAAAATTTAATTATTGGATCAACCCTCCCTAGTTAACTTATAATCAACTTTCGGTTGGAACTAAAGTAATATGGATAAGTACGTTGATTATAACGCCATAAGAAAAATTTTGATAAGTTAAAATCAATTTAAGAAAGAAATTGATGAAAACGCCACAAGTTATCTTGATATAAACACTAATTTTTCACTCAACAAAAAAGTTGAAGAAAACTTTTGTATTTGAAAACTGAAATTTTGTAATTTTATTATAATACAATTGTGAATTGAAAACCAATTTATAGTTGTAGGCTATGTAAATAATAAAAAAAATAACATAATAATTAATGGTAGAAATGACATAGGAAATTAAATCTTGACTTGAATAATAAAATAATAAAAATTAGGAGGATTATAACTAAAATAAGTTAAAGATGATCTCCCTTTTTGGAAACCTTTTAAATGGTGATGATCTCTTAAATTAAATAAGATATTTTGAAGATCTCTTATTTAAAGAAGATCTTTTGAAGATCGCTTAAACTAAAGAAGATATTTTGATTCCTTAATAAAGTAAATCTCATGATCTTGTGATAAATGCCTAAATCCATCCATGATCTCTCTTGATTTTCTCTATATGTGAATATGTTTATTTAGGAAGATATGATCTTTGTTTAGAAATTTGGAAATATATAGCGTTGATTATCCTTTGATAGATTTCCAAAATTCTTTGATCATGACTACTTTTTTGCCATTTGAGAAACATATGAAGAGGAAAATGAAATTTTTCTTCTTGAGAGAAAAATATCTCGAGTGGGAAAAAGTCTCTCGTGGGTGGGGAAAGATTTCCCATGGGCTTTTAACTTCTTTAAGGGCCGTTTCATTTCTTGGCTTGCTTGGTTGCTTGAATAGTGCAAGCCATATGTGCTCACATCACTATGATTTTACTAAAATTATATATTGGGACTTTTAATATTTGCCATGCAGGACTAAATAATGTGGACATCTTGATGCTTGTAGATTGTTAGAGAAAATATCTAAATCTAAAATAGGTGTTATTTCAGAAACTAATAAATTCCACTACAATTATTGCCACTGTTACAAATGCCATGTTCACTTTCATTTCTGCAGCTTCCTGTTTTTCTCCATGTAATCCACTAATTCTTTTCTCAATAAACCAGAAGAGGTGAAGTCTATCAAGGATAAGACATAATCCTGTTATCATAATCTGCTATAATTTAAAATTGTAGTTTGTGATGTAAGTGCACATCCCATCTTACATTTGCCTTATCCTACTATTTTTTAGTACGCTTGCAATGAATTAAATCAGAGAATTCTTCATCAAAAGCCTTTATGATGTCAGAGCATTAGCCTCAGCACTTTCCCATGGGAAAAATTTCAGCGTCCAATGAATCCTTTATGTCCAATATGCCAACAACACCATTCCTCTAGACAATTCTAACACCCTCCTCATCATTAAATCCTGCCTCCCAAATCCCTTTAAAACTTACAGCTTTGAAATATCCGCATGGCACCTACCATGGCTTCTACAAAATGAAGCTCAGCCACTCCCATCCTGGAAGCACATAGAAAGCTTAACCATACATGCAATTCTAGCCTTATTATCTGACCAGATAATTTCACTGTTTGCTGCTTCCTCATCCTCCAAAGGTGCATATCTTTTCGCAAACAGGTCATGCTGAAGACTCATGCATCTCAAAGGAAAGCTCAGTCTTCCTTGCAGAAGCAAAATTGTTGGAAACTGCCTTTGACATATCCATGCCACCATGTACGAATTTGCCTTGATCGATGCCCCCCTCAGTGATGATATCACTTTCCATGGAGTGATTTTTGAGAGTTGGCTGAAGCCCTTCCAGCTCATGACAGTCCCATTTCCTTTGAGGAACTCCACAAAAAGTTAGTGGAGTATGAAAGTTTCTCAAATGTACCTCCTCTCAATCTGATCTTGCCAGATCCCTGTTATCTACACCAGGAAAACTCCTACGATCACCTACCAAACTTCAATCTGATCTTGTCAGTGACTTGTTCATACCTCCAATAATTCAAGTACTCAACAAAAGTCTGGGAATGCATCACTCTTTTTTCTTAGACATACTGCTAATGTATTCAAAATAAAAAATCAAACTCGATACTGACAGTGAATTATACCAGTGCAGTATCTATTTCCACTACTTCTCCAACATGGCTGGTGGACTCTGTTGCCAGCTGCCATGTGACAGCAAACCTTGAAAATCTCTTTCTTACCATGGACTATGACGCACTGATAAAATTCTGTTTGATGATGGAACAAGTGGATATCAACAGAAAGCATTACACCCACTCACTCTGTTTTACTGTTCCAGTTTTCTAATGTTTTTTGTGTTCCATCTCTTAAAGCAACTTTGAGGATAGAGGCTCAAGCCTGTCCTGACTCTAAAGCTAAGCTGCCACTGGAAGGTTCTTGTTAGCCTCTGCTGGTGTACTTGAGTTGTAAAAGGGATAAAAATTATTCATGAGCTGGATATCCTGGTGTGGAGTATCCAAGTCTTGAATTGCTAGAATTTTTCAGAATAAATCGAGTTGGTTATGGCTAGCTGTAGATTCCATTTTTCTGTTATTGATTATTGTGTTAGTCGCTATTCTTTATTGGTAGCTGGAATTCCATATAACAGAGTTAGTAAAAGGAGAATATTGTAGATTTTGGAGAAGAAAAAATTAACTTTATTTCTTACCCTTTATATTGTTACACTTGGGGTATTTATAAAATTTTTAACCTATTAATAAATTTTTTTTTATTACAGTAGAATTCTAAATATATTAGATTACTATTTTAGTAGAATTCTAAGTATATTATCCCAACTAATTAAATAATAAATTAAGTAAATAATAAAATATTGTATTTAATATTTCCCCTCAAGTTGGTGCAATGATATCATACATGCCTAACTAATAAATTAAGTTCTGAAGGGCCATCTTGCAATCTACTAGAGGCGAATGTGCGCGGAGGAGCCTGAAAAAGGACCAGAGAAGACCAATCCGAGTGGCTTGTGCATGGAGGAAGCAGATCTGTGCCGATAACGCGAAACCAAAGGCGAATGTGCACTGAGCAGGCAGAAAAAGGACCAGAGAAGGCTGGTTGGAGCGGCTCGCGTGCAGAGGAAGAGAATATGCTGCAGATCGCGAAACTAGAGGCGGACGTGCATGGATGAGGCAAAAAAAAGATCAAAGAAGGCTGGTCGAGGCGGTTCGCACGCAGAGGAGACGGATATGCGTCGGATCGTGAAACTAGAGGCGGCTGTGCGGTTAAGAGCCGCAAAAAAGACTAGAAAAGACCAGTCAGAGTGGCTCTCACATGGAGAAGGCCTATTTGTGTGTAGCGCAGCTGGAGAGCCGGAGAGAGAGTTTGCACGCAGGAGAAGAAGAAGAGTTGTGGTGGCCAGGCTGCGGGAAAGCTAGATCCGAGTAGTTCCGACGCAATTTTTGCCAGATCCGTGCTGGATCTGGACCTGCCATCAGTTTCTCTAATGATTCCCGGTGAAATCGCGGCAGAACGTGGCGGCCAGCAATGGCACGTGCAGTGGCGCATGTGACTCACGTGCTTAGGAGATGGTCACCTAAGTCGAGGGACAGGTTGGCGGTGAGGCTCCGACTCCGTTTAGGGTGATGGTAAGATTAAATTTTGATAGATGAATATCAACTCAGCTTATTTTGTTATTTTAGAATTTGCAAAAAATTTGAAATTAGAATTCTAAAATAACTTTATTTGATTCTGATACCACGTAGATTTTGAAGAAAAAAAATATTAACTTTATTTCTCACTGTTTATGTTATTACATTTGGAATATTTATAGAATTCTTAACTTATTGATAAGAAATTCTTATTTTAATATAATTATAATTATATGAGATTACTATTATAATAGAATTTTAATTATATCATATGAACTAATTAAATAATGAAATAATAAAATTTTTTACTCAACAAATATAATAGAGTTCTTGCTTATGGAAAAATTTCAACTTCAGAAAAATCTCTACTGAATTAGCAGTTACTCGGAAATCTCTCAATTTCCTCTCTATGTAACTCTCTCTCTTCCTTTGTTTATTCTGTCATATTCTTTCTAATCCAAATTTTTTCTAATCCAAATTCAAATGTCACATCGACCTAGTTCTCACACACAAAATGACTTGGTCTTGGACTGGTGTCAGAGCAGCATGATCTTGATGAGTAGCGTGTGACCACGTCCATGGCAAAGTATAAGGGAAAAACTGTCATAACTAAGCAACAGAAGATCCAACAGTTGGATGACTTAGTCTGAATTGTTGATTAGAAGCTTAATGACTTCATGGCCGAAGTTTATGAGTCACAACAACATATGGAGGCTCAATTGGAATAATGCTTGAACAACTGATCAATCTTCATCCGAGGATTGAATTGTCCCCCTGGAAACAAGCTTGTCTATAATTCCCCCTTCTTGTTGTAGTCACTATGATCGTGATGTTCTTTCCACATTGAAACACCAAGATACTGGTGCTGGCAGTTTGTAGCCTCCTCAGTGAGATTTGCTTGGAAGTACATTGCCAATTGTGGAAATATCATCTTAGAGGACATCAACCCGGATGATCGGGTTTGATGTTGCCTTAAATATTTCCACTTACAAAGGGTGGCCGATGAGCAGCTGGAAGAGGTATTCTCTCTGTACTTGGTAGAGAAGGCAAATGATTGTATCAAGGGTACTCTGGGGGATAACAGGCCACAAAATTAGGAGATATT